AAAATAAAAAATATTTGTTAGTAAAATTAAAAACTTTTATATGTAAGAAAAAATACGTATTTTACTAATTATAATTAATAAAAAATTTAAGTGTTGCATTATTAATTTATTAATTTTAAGTTATAATTATATTTTAATCTTGAATATATATTTATTATATATAAAAAATCTTAATAAATAATAAATTATATCAAATAATAATAATTTTTAATTAATATAAAACTTATTTTATTTTATTAATTTAATTATAATTAATTAATGTTCAATTTAATTTTAATTTATTAATTCAGTTTGAATTTGAATTTGCCACTATTACTTTAGTTTATTATTCAATCCATTTGATTTTTTTTAGAATTAAGAAAAATATTTTATTAAAATTATATTCTATAATTTTAACAATTTAAATAATTAGTATTTTTATATAAAATGAATAATTTTTACTAATTTTTCAAGGATACTATTAAATTTTTCCTATATACAAATTATCCATTCCTTTATATATTAAGTATGTTAACGTTGAATAAAAACGTGTTATACCTTTCACATGAAATACATGATCTATAAAAATAAATGCTTAACAAAATGGTAATAAGTGTCAAGCATAAACGAAAAGACATGTTAACTACCTTTGCAAGATCTGGATGCACAGTCACATATGTAGGAGAGATTCCGGTACCTTCCTCGGATGATTCTGTATCCAAAAAATGTTGATCACGTAAATGAAAACATGCACTCTCGCACAAACCAAATCAGCATAATAGAGAAGAGGAATCTAGTAAAAATGAGGAGATCGTTAATTTATGTATCTAAGGGTGGCTAATAATGTACATGATAAAAATTATTCTCCACATACTATTGAAACAGCTCGTGTGCATCGAACGTATATATAACAGAGATTATAAGATAGTGATTGTAAACTAAAAAAATCAAGCTACATTAATATATAAAAAGTTTTAAGTATTGAAAATTAAATTAACAATACTTACGAATCACTGGTGAAACGATTTTCATCATAAAGAACATAATAATGGGTTGGTCTGGAGGTTCCTTGCAAACCAGGATGACTTTGCAAATCTAAAATTAATGAAAAATAAGAATTAATAATTTATTATTATGTATAATGTTACAAATATTGTACCTATTATTAAATATTTACAGAAATCAAATTCGAATGGATGCGTAATATTGTCATCGATTGTGGTAACCCGGTAAGAACGATCAGAATCCTTTTTTTCTATTGGAAAAAATCTCACGTGATGTCGTCTTTGTACAACGACAAATGTTATGGGTGGACAGTAGCAAGCCGCCATGGATTGACATGCCGCTATTGTCAAAGAAGATATCAACATTGTAATCTCGATAAATAAAGGGGATGATTAATGTTCAATTTTTACTTTTGATAGCCGTCATTTCATCGCACAACACTTGTTTGAATTGGCTTTCCGACACACCAACCTGGTAGAATAAGATTCGTTCGTTTTCTACCACATGTTTGATAAAATGTTTTTAAGTAATTCTTTACATGTCTCCTAGATTTGCGATTGTCTCCACCCTTGTCATTTGCGGTCGTATTGTAGCTGCATATCGAGAAGCTTTAGCATCCATGGAGGCACAGAGTGATGTTATCGATGTACGACCAATCGCGTGATGAGTAACATTTAAAAATGAATTCATACCGCCAGTTTCACATTCATCTTAAGACACACATTTGCACAGTATTGTTTTTTGGGATTCATCATGTGTCCTTGTTGGATACATTGTGTCGCGACTCCTATAATCGTATCACTAGCATATTTAATTTCCCATAAAGGTATGCATTAGTGGTCGGTAAGATACAGATTATCAATTTGGGTTGCGCCTTAGCGCGGTTTCTGGCGTTAAACCAGGCGGTTTTGAGTGACCCTTCAATATCGCCTTGTGGATTAGCGTAATTTATTGGCGGATTACGATTCGGAATATTCTATTTTGTAGGAATAAAATCAATAAATATGAAATTATGGATATATATAAGAATTTGCATAACCCTGATAATCAAGAGGAATAAACTTTACCATGCCAGTTTCTTGACATGTCGTTATAAGTTTCTTGAGAAAATGCATTACTTTTTCTTCAGATATCACGTGGTTTGATGCAAACACCAAAACACCCGAGCCAAGGGTTGTTCCCATTGCAACTTTTACGCCTCGAAGATTCCAAGCATCCTCTTTTGGCTGAATTCTTGATAGTAGATAAGACGGGTGATATTGAACCGTAGGCACTGGAAGTACTCTGGCTGAAACCTAAAAAGGATTAAGAGAAATAAATAAAATAATAAAGATGATTATATATTTAATTAAAATTATAGTATACTTCAGTCATTTGGTTGAATCCCTGCATAATTTTGTTTGCGGTTGTATACATGTGAATTTGATAATGTCGACCGTTTGTATCTTCGCAAATATGGTTGTTCCTAATGATATCATCGTTATCAATTACTAAATAAGCTAAGCGAATAGAAGAAGGCTCAAAAAGCAAAACAATACCTCAATAACTTCGCACACTTCCATGGGAAGAAACATATCCCTACTAACTGCCACACACGAAAGATACGGGAAACCTTAATGGTCTATTGTACGTTTGATGAAGGTAGGTTGCAACGTCCACAACCTCGTTTTCGCTGTTCGTAAATGTCGCTTGATTTGCAGGCCTTGGGGTAATACCCCTGATACGATATCGACGCATAGCAACGGCGTCGCCACAATGTACGACTCTAACTTTTAGGTTCCTTAAAAACATTCCAAGTTTTACTCGATCTCTATCGTCGAGTCCTCTGCGGAGATCATCTGGAGATTTCTTGTTAAGAAATTTAACAACGATCGCTATTAAATCACCACCTTCGTAAAATGCTGTGGCGCTGAAGTTGATATTAATCTGCATTCTACCTTTATATTTCACCAAAGATACAATAAAGATGATCCATTGATAATGATCATTTCTATGAAATCATTCAAGTCACTGACAAAGATACCTTTGGTGGGGCGAGCTGACTGATAATAACCTTGCCATACTTCTAATCCTCCAAACAAGCGTTGGGAACCTTGAGGAATGTAAAAATGAACGGCCTTTAGTTGCATATAGTATGGATGGGTTATGTCGAAAGTGCCATGATTGCTAAATAATGATTAATAGATAAAAGCTGAGAACATAAAGCCGAATATTAACACGAATCTCACGACCCAAATCTACAGTTCATAACGTCATACAAAAATATAAGGAGTTTGGCCAAACCACAGTTGCTGTCCGAAGCGGTAGACCACCAATATTAAATGATAGAGATACCCGAAGAATAAT